ATGACAGGTGAGAGTGGATGCGCTCGAAGTACCAGTTCGCTCTCATATTCCTCGAGATCCGGTACTTGTCTGTCATCACCACAAACACATTGTCCGCCTCCTTCACCACACCCTTCATCTTAGCAGTGGATGCCGTCGTGTCTCATGTGAACAGTGATCACTGAATGTCTTGCAGTGAGTGGTGACTGCGATGTCAACTAATGTGCGCTTCAAATGCAAACATACAGTCAGAGGGCGTACTATGCAGTCAACACACATACAGTACACGTGATTGTCACACGTCTATCACATGACACACCATTGCATTCATACAATTAGTTTGACATTTGCATCACATTGTCATCGCATTGCAGACAATCAATGGTATCGACAACTCTATCATCAACTCTATGTCCACTATATCTTACAGTAAGTCTTAACACTAACCACTCGTTTGTTATGTTTCATGCAATCAATTGATGGCTGAATGTGTTGTCAAGACATCGACCACTCGATTGAGTGTTTGTTTGCAAACAACAACTGTTTGTTTACTTTTGATGTGAGCTTTAAATACAATACAATAAATACCTGACAATCAGTCCATTGACTCTTCATTTGTTTTGTTTGTATTTTTATGGAAGTGTTTGATTCAAAGACAGGCTTTTATTGAAACTAATCTATAATTAGAGGCATTATTACAATATTTATTTTTATAGTTTAGTATTACGAGCATACAAGTTTCATAATCTTACCCTCAATCACTGTAATATGACCCTCACCCAATAATCCTACATACGATTAATAACTACATTAAATTATGTCATATATGAAAACTAATACTTTTAAAGATTTGTTCATTAAAAGCATTGGAGTGCACTAACAAGCATAATATACAATTTAGACATAATCTAGAATATTCTTAACTTGATCTGGTTTATAAAATAAGTGTTGTATATTCTTGACGAACACATTTTCATGTAAAACATTCAATAATAACAGAAGTGTATCATGCAACTTTAGTGATTAGATTTTAAACAAAATATATATAATAATGAAACTAAAACTTGTTTGGCTGTATAAACATGCGGGTAGACTACCATTAATGTATGCAATTAGTAATTATTTCCAATTACAACTATTTACAACAATAACTTGTTTGCATATAAATATTTGTGTCCAATGCCCCCGTTTTGTCACAATAATATACATTATTCTAACATTATTAAAGTTAAACATTGTTAGCCGGATCAATTTCATAAAACAGTTCGTGTACTTAATATGTTTTGAAGAAAATTATAATTCTGTATTTTCGTTTATATTTTGTTCTGGATAAATCGTCCCTTTATGACATAAATATTGTGTCAGCATCATTATTCAATAATTGATTCATCAATAATTTATTCATTTTCTTAATTAACTTACTTTTCTCAAATATGGTGCGCATAGGTTACCGTATGTTGCCATATTCAAGGAAATTAACTTGATATACTCATTTTATTAAGTTATAATACCTGTAGTTGCGTAACGGCATATTACAGTAAAGTTATACAATACCGCAAGTCTGAATGTATTTATGTAAGACAGTAGAGGGCATTACCAGAATCACCTTGCTTGTCAAATTTGGAAGCTGCCACTGCACTGCACTGTACTATAGAATTGTACATAATTCTCACGATCTTTCACGTGTTCGTACACCTGTAGGCTATATAGGATGCCATTCAGTAGCCAACGTATAATGCTTTACACAATTAAATAAGTTATTGAGTCGAGCCTTACTATAATTGGTAGTCATATACCATATATTATATTGAATTCTATTGAATACGTTATGCATTAGAATAACAAAGAAGTATTTGTCAATTCAAATAGAAATTAATTAAAAATGAGTTTATTTTTGAATTTTGTTGATATCACAATTAAATACAATAAGTTAAGTTAAGTACAAACGGAATGTATGTATAGTTAATGTAAAAA